CCATGACATGAAGTTTTCCAGCCTGGCTGATAGGATTCGAGCCCTCTATGTGTGTCAGATACCTGTTTGTATCCAGTAGTTGCTTCACATACATGTACTGATTGATTAGCATGAGGATGCTATGGATACCTAAAGGGAACACGCTGAAATCTCCAGAGTTGTCTCTGTGTGTAGCTTTCTCTCTCTGGTCATCTGTCCTTCAAACACTAGCCACCTTGATCTCCTTGGATCCTTGGACTCTTAGCTCTGTCTCCTCAACTCAGGGACTCCAGTGGGCTCTGAGCTCCCACTTCCTGAGCCTCGGCCTAGAAAGCCTTTTCAGGCAATAAGCTGAGGCAATGTTAAGGTTTACCTACTTTGTTTCCTGACACTCAAGGATCGCTGCCCTTCTTTGCCTGGTATCCTGTGTTTCGAAGCCATGGTTTCACATTTTTTTTTCTGACTCTTTGGTTGTTTCAAGCAGGAGATTAAGCCTGGACCCTATTACTCCATTGTGGCAGAAAGGAGAAGTCTTGGTGTTGGGCTCTTAATGCAGGTTTGCAATTATGTAGTACTGGTCAGCTTTTGACTCCTACTTTGAGGATGTTCTTCGGCACTCCTGATTCCTCATCTCCCTACAGCCCTCATAACCATTTGATTCCCAGAGGTTAAATGAGTGTACTCCACTATAATTTTGGAATTTTCTTCCAAGTTGCTGACACCCATTTTGTAAGTTTTATACTAGCTGTTTTGATGTTAGCACCTGTGCAGGCAAAGATAACTATGGCAAGATTACTGCCTCGGTGAGAGAGAACATAAGGCACAGTGATTGTGAGATGCATTCTGGTTTCATATATGTTAAAATGTGAAATCTGGTAGAATCAGTAAATATGGCTTTTTGACTCATAATAATAGAACTTTCTAACTGGTTAGATTTAAGGATAAGGTCAAGGATGGCTCCAAAATTTTTGGTCTAAACAACTATATACATGAAATTCCCTAACTGGGGTGAGGTGGGAAGCATCTTGTTTGGCCTATCCAGTATACATCCTCCACGGTGCAATTACTGATAAACTGGTATGTACATGTGTGGGGGGGTGTTGTCGAAGGCCTCAAATACTGAGTTTCACCTTATTTTATTGGATATATTTTAAGAGTAATAAAGTTGTCATGAGGAGTAAAAATATATCATTAAAACCTCCTCAAGATTGGCAGACTATTTTTATATGTAGACATGTGTGTTAACAATAGCTCTTTCATTAAAAAAATAATAATGATAAGATTAAGTATCAGCCCCAAAGGCTTAAAGGAAAGAGTCTTTAAAAACATGAACTTATTAACAGGTCTAAAAATAAGATAAACTCAGATATCAGAATAGGAAATCCTGTCTTTTAAAAACATTATTATTATTATCACCTTTCTTTGACACAACAATGAATCACACAGAAAAATCCACATATAACAAGATTAAAAAATGAATCTAAAATGTTCTACAGGAAGATGTGGAAGATACACACACACATACACACACACACAGACACACACACACACACACACACACACACGGTGCCAAAAAAAAGTATACATTTTAAGGAAGGAAAAAACTGTATTAAAATTGTAATACTCAATATATACTGGTAACAAAAGATGAATACAAGTCACATTTGACTTCTGCAATTACAAGAGGTTCTCAAAGTGGTTATCATCAGTGTCCACACACTTCTGATTATGGCGAACTACTGCTTGAGCAAAGTTGACCAAAGTGTCCACTTGTATACTTTTTTTTGGCACCCTGGTGTGTGTGTGTGTGTGTGTGTGTGTGTGTGTGTGTGTGTGTGTGTAGATTTTTGGGGGGAGGAAATCTTTTAGGTATAATCCTTGAGAACAATTTTTTTGAAGAGGGATTTACAACCCATCTATGTGAAATGACAGAATTTATGATTCCCATGGAAACTGTCCATTTATCAGAGAAAGAGGTTACCTGATTTCTAAAGCAGGACTTTCAGAATTGTTGACTAATAACCTGGAAATGTGTCTTGACCAAATATGGCATCACAGTTCTGTCAACAAAGCCAGACTAGATCAGGTCTGATGCACTGGATCATACAGTAATATGGCTTCATGGGAAAAGGCACCCGAGGAAGTTCAACACTGTGAAAGACGATCTAGCCACCTACCTCTCCAGCCATGCCAGTGGAATTCATCACTGAAGGGAAGGTGATGAAACCAGACTGCTCACACATTCTCGGATATCTTAAATATCTCTCTGTGTATAATACTATAGTAGATGCCAAATAGAACAGTCCCCCACCCATTCCTAATCATTAAGAATTTATCATCAAATGAAACAATTATTAATACATGCAGAACTCAAAGAACTGGCTTTTTATCAACATGCAGAAAATGAAATTAATATTTTTCTTGTCTTTCTTTTTGTTGAATTAAAAGCACCATATATTAAAGTATATTCTGAGATTTATCATAGGGTATTAATAGATGATATTTAAGAAAAAGTTTCCTTAAGTAAACACATTGGGGACACACTGGGGTAAATAGAGTGAAACGGGTTTCTTTGGTTCTGATTTTCTTAAGAAACTAATTAATGTGCTTCTGTAATTTCCATGAACAAGGTATAATATGTGGTATTTCACACACGTTTTATCTTCGGTCTCCTTTTCAGGGACTAAAAGGGGCTCATGCTTTGTTTGTCTTGTTTGTCAATGAATCTCTGGTACCTAGTATGGAACCTGATGGTAGGAGACACTCAAAACTATTTGTGGAATAAAGTAATGAATGTGCTGGTTGCCTGATGACCTGCCAGTTGTCTGTTAGCCCTTTACTGAACCAGAGAAGAATTGGCCATGACTCTCCTACCTCGGGTGCTGTGTGCTGCTGATGGTTCAAGTTTGCACCAGCCCGAGGGGTGCCATATTGCACTTTAGGCAAGTGCACAGGGGCATCGGGACAAATTCCTTTCTTGCCTGGCCTACTCTCTCCATCCTTTGCTCTTCCCCCAACAACTTGGAGGTTCCTTCCCATTCTTCCTCAGGGAGCACACAAAGGTTACTGCGTCAGCCAAAAGCTCAGTCGATGTCCCAGCATGTGGAATGTGAGTCGCTTCTCAGCAGAACAAGAGGGAGTCCGCCTGAGCAGTGTGTGGGTCAGGAGACCGCCGCTGAGCATTGGATGGCCAAACAGAAAGCTTCCCTTTTACTTGCACTTTACTTGACCTGTGGATAAACAAAGACTTTCTATTTCTAGAAATCCCATTGTTTTAACTGCTTTGAGTTTCTTTTGTAAACTTAAACATCCATGTCTTTATGCAAGGCGTTTAAAGCTCTGTGGGCCCCATCTGAGCAGCCTTTGTTCCTTTTCTGTATTCCTCTTGCACGTGTTGTTCTTATATGCCACGAACTCTTAGCTATCTGAAATGCAGCCTTTCTTTAACAATGTATTATAGGACGTTGAAAACAACTAGAAGGTGGTAGTGTGAGTAGCAGATTCAGTATTTCAGAGAACTTAATAAATGTAACCTTTTTAGGGAAGAAATTGAGAGCATATGATTCTTCTTTCTCCTTCAGCTGGCTACGTGCTAGGGGCCCTGAGGCATTAAAAAAACATCATAAAAGTAAAGTCTTTCAGTTCCCGTTTTTAGGGAAATTTGGAATAGAGGGGGGAAAATAATATTACACAATACTGTGTTCCAGGCTATCCATCTATATATCTATATCCATACCTATATCTCTTCACAACCATGTTATGAGGTAAGTGTTGTTTTCTCTGTTTTACAGAGACACTAAGGATCAGAGAAGTTAAGAAACTTCTGAGATTCGTTTATTGAAATTAAATTCTCCCTAAGGCAAGATGATATAATGTTGAAGTCCAGAGAAATTGGCTACCTCTTGAGATTCTTTCATTTAAACTAAATTCTCCCCGTGATAGGATGATAATGTATAATATTGGAAAGATATATGTGAGACAGAGAACCCCACAGAGCTTCTGAATATGCTAATGAGCTTAAAATACCTGCTTTCCCTTGTCGTCTGGAAGGCTCTCCTGTTCTTTGACCTTGGGCTACTCATTACAATTTTTAGAGGCTTCATTTATTTTCATAAAATGGGGGTGGTGGCATCCACCTTGCCTATATTACAAGTTTGGGATGAAGGAATAAACAGTATAATTTAGATGAATGTGAAACTCTTCAATGCTATATAAATACAAGGTGTTGTCACAAATGGAGTTCTAAGTAAGAATGCCTATGATGTCTTTGGGGTACATGTAATACACCTTCATTTTTTTTTTTAATGTAGATTTTGGGACTGCTTCCAATGAGTTTAGGCTCAATTTTCAAGTATAGTAAAAAGTAATCCATTTTTTAATGATCTGTGCGTCAGCCAATTTTTTATTTCAAAACAGGATGTGTGGGGGAAATGTGAATAACCATTTATGAGACATTAACTACATATAGTAGTAGATGCAGATAGTGTAAAGGATTGTGAAGAACTGGAAGGCATGATTTCTGCCCTAGAGGGGCTTAAACAACATAAACAAATATACATTTCCCTTATTCTTATATGTCCTACTTATCCAAGGTAGTTAGTTACTTTGCTCGAGAGAAATCCAAATTTTGATATAATAAAGTCATCCTTTAAACATTAGAATTTATTTTCCTTTTGTAATTTACAATTGCTCTAATCTAGAGAAATTTGGCAATATAAGACCATAATTTATAGTCAGAAATGAGAACTTGCAAATCCATTTTTCCATATATCAAAATTCATATATTTTTTAAAAGGCCAGATCCCCCCAGGAGTTAGCTAGTGATCAGCTTTTTTGGTATATTTTATTTTGAGGAAAGTAGAAATTTTGATTCCCAAATATTGGTGTCCACATTTCAAAAACTTAAAAAAAGGTTATCATTTGGGGGGAGGGGGGTATGCAAGTCAGTGCCTTTATTGAAGCCAATCAATAATTTGTATCAAATGATGTGCTTTTTAAGACTTTCCTTTGTTTCTCTCTAGTGGATGACACTGTGGTTGCTATTCCCTATGGAAGTAGACATGTCCGCCTTGTCTTAAAAGGACCTGACCATTTGTGTAAGTAAACTTAGTTGTTTTCCTTTGGGTATTGGGAGTTTTAGCCATTATTATTTACTTTTTGTTCCCAGAAGAGATTAAAATACGGAAGTACAAATCTTTCCACTCTATAATAATATGATATTTTGAGTGCTTCTGTTTATCTTTTGGTTGCCTGATGAGATAGCAGAAACCTCTGTGGTAATTATCCCTAACCACAGTCATCTTGAAAAATAAAAAATAGATGCTCCCCATAGGTTGGTCATGAGTTAAGCACATGTTTATGCTTTTGCGAATGTATTTTCTCATTCTCTCTCTTCTTCCTTTCCAATCAATCTCAGTCTTTTTCTTGCCTCACCTCTCATTTTTTTTCTTTCTCCTTCCATCGCTCCCTCTCTCTTCTTTCTTCTTTCTTTTATTCTTCCTACTTTCATGTTTCATTACTTTTTCAATTCAGAGGAACATAGAAACACCAAACAACCTTAACCCTGTGGCATTTAGGTAAAGTCATTGTGATATAATTAAGCATTTTATGTATTAGAGACAGTATAAGGTCTGAGTATCTTTAAGATAGCTGTTGGGATTCAGGGCTACTAAGGGGTGATCATAGCACAAAGATCAAATGGGAGCAGTCCCCACCAGGGTTTGTACAAGAATGATCTTCAGTCATGCCAAGCCAGCAGCACACAGCCATATCTTTTTTAAAAATACCATTTAGTACTGCTTATATGTAGACCTGTAAATTCAAGCAGGAAATTATGGCATATGAGCCAGAGAGGGAGCAGGAGAGGATATGCTAGTATTTTCTGCAAGATTCAGTTTCCCTGAAAGATTTCCTTTCAGTTGATTCCTTGAGCATTTCTGATCTTCTCCACTGTGGTTGTTCCTGGGTTTCTGCAAAGCCATCTGTCGTCTTCTCTTTCTTCCCTCCCACACACATGCCTAAGAAACCAATTTAGGTAGCAAGTGCTATCTTTTGGCAATTTGATTATGACTGAAATCATTCCAGAAGGATGAACAAGAGGAAGACAAATTGGAGCCTATGGAAGTTCAGATAGCCTACTGTAATCTTTCTTAAAATAAAAATAAGTATGCTTCAGTAAATACATTCACTAAAAGAATAAATAAGGTACAGTTCAGGCAAAGACACCTTATGTGGATCCAAGTTCTTTTCTAGCCCTAAACCACCTCAAAAAATATAGTGTTCACATGTCAAAAGATTATATATATATATATATATATATATATATATATATATATATATACACACACTATTACCATTCAAATGATTTGCTTTTCCCCTTGAGAACTGGACAGAGATAACTGCTGGTGTAACAACCCCACTCAAAAACGGTATTTTTCCGAGCAGTGACACCCTAAAATAAAACATCCAGACCAAGGCCATCACCAACTTGGGAATTGACTTCTCATTGCAGAAGAAAAAACCCAAAGGAATATAGATAAAAGAATATCTATAAGAGGAAAATTCATGTTTATAAATGCATTAGCCTCCCAGATTTGATAGATAAAGCTCCAAGTGATATTCATAGATGATGAAAAGCAAAATGGAATCTGCTGTTTTATCCCCAACACACATACTGCTGATAACTATGTATAACTAAGAAAGTTTTTGTTTTGTATTTGGAATATAATTCAAAATGAATGTGCGAATAAATGATGCCCTGCTTCTCTTGCAACCCTTTTGCTCTTCATTCCCAGCCGGTGGCCCAATAGGGAGCCAACTTTAAATATTTAGGGCCACATTCAAACAAGACTAAACAGTCTGGCCCAGCCCCAGCTCATCTTGAATCAGAAGTACCTTGAGAAGGGAGGCCTGGTGATAAAATTAAATCAGATGCTCAGGCTAGGCTTAGACTTCCAAGATTTTTTCCAAAATTAAGTTAACTTATATCCTGGAGATATTTCCATAAATTAGTGTGAATACATGTAAGGCAGCTGGAAGAATGAAGGTGAGAGGAAGGCAATGCTGTTGCTTTCGGCTGATGACAACAACTGTGGTTTCCCCACTCAAATATTTCCTTGGTGTTCCTTGTTCTTCTGAGGTCCTCTCTACTCTAGGGTAGGCGAAGGAAGCCTGAACTACTTCCAAAGAAGGGCACACATACTGTATCTGAGGGTCATGGGCATTTAATTGGACACCAACGTTCTCCCACCTGCTGGTGTTCCTTATAGTAGAGAACATGTTAGACAACATGTAGAATAATTTAGTACAAATACTTTAGGCACTTGAGTACCTCCAGGGACCTTAAAATCTTCCTTAACCCCAGAACCTCAATCTGTAAAACATGTAAGGGGGGAGTCATTCTGACTGAATGTAGGGTAGGTGACCCAAGGCTTCACGTAGGCACCCCATCATTCTTATAAAGAACTGCTGCCAAAACCAAGGGTTTTGTGCAAGTTTTGGAAACCATTGTTAGATTTAGTCTGTCTAACTTCCTTCATGCAGCAGGTAGTCATTCTAAGTCACCTCTTAGTCACATGAGAATTTAACCTGCTCTGAAATACATATCATAATTACCATTGTCCCCTGCATGCTCTGATTTCCTACAACAAAAGATGCTTCGTAGGCTTTGTCATTGGCCAAATTCAGGATGGAATGTTCCAGAAATCAAAAAGTTCTTCTTTCTGTCTTAAGCTCCTATGAAACATCATATATGTACACAATGCTGAAAGGTGTACCAAAAAGAATTTTTAAAAGAAAGAAAACTAAAAAGGACAGTTAGTTAGTTCCCTGTCCTTAAGTCACTATATTTTCTTCATTTTGAGCAATAGCACACATACAGTAAGTAACCAGAAAGTATAAATAAATACAAGGTAAAGCATGAATATAAAGTTACATAGGTACTGAGGGAACTCAGAGATGCACCCTGTATCACATAGAGCAAACAGAAAAGTATAGGGTATTCGAGACTGAGGGTCATAAAGACTGAAATCAATAAGATATGTATGGGAGGTGGTTTAGTCAAAGGAATAGGATTATGGTAAAGTGGAGTGCCCAAAGGAGGTCACCCAGGAAGCCAAAGATTTTTGACAGAAAGTCTTGAATGTTTGGATAATAGGTTTTGAAATAATTTCATTTGCAGCATGAACTCCTATGTGATCCAAAGCCCCTGTATATTTTGTTTATATCATAATTTTAATTGTGTCAGCTATATAAAGCATGATACTTCACCCTTACATAGTTCTAGACTCTGCTCCATGGAATGTCCTTGCATGTGGTTTGCTGTAACCCTGGGAACCCCTTTCTCTTCTCTTCATGTGTTTGATTATGTAGATTTGGAAAGCAAAACCCTCCAGGGCGCTAAAGGTGAAAACAGTCTCAACTCTACGGGCACCTTTCTTGTGGACAATTCTAGTGTGAACTTCCAGAAATTTCCAGACAAAGAGATACTGAGAATGGCTGGACCACTAACAGCAGATTTCATTGTCAAGGTAAGCCTATTTTGGTACCTTGTTTTCAAGCCACCTCCAAATTGATGGTATTTAATAATCTCCTAAAAAGAGAGAGAGAGAGAGGGAGAGAGAGCATGCGTGAGCAAGCGAGAGAGACTTCAGGTTTTAACATAGATTTTGAAAGCCTTTGATCCAGGAGATGTTTAATTCAAGGATGTTGAGCTACATCGTGGACTTTACAAGAATATGATATTTTTAAGATCTAGGAAAATCCTAACTCTGTGTGTGTGTGTGTGTGTGTGTGTGTGTGTGTGTGTGTATAATTTAATAAAAAGATCCCATTCACAAAGCCAACATATCATCAGTGGGGATATAAACTGTTTTTAAAACAGGTTAGGATCCAGTCATTGACTCGTATAAGATGTCCTCAGTCAAAGAGAAAGACAAACTAATGATCCATAGACGTGGTCATGCCTCCTTCCAATTGCAAGTTCTGTTTTCTCTTGTACTGGCAACAAGACTAAGTTGTTTCCTTCTATCAGAGCTTCCCTACTCTTCAAGGTAATAGAAAACACATTGCTGGAAGCAGCATGCACATTCTGTAGGAAAAATGTACACACTAGAAGAACATTTGGGAATCACAATAAAATAAAACATATTTTTTTCCTTCAGTAGGTCAGAAGGACCTGAAGGATTTCAGCTGTAAAGCTGTAAAACTTGTAATGTGTCCAGGACTCCATAAATTTTTCATCATGGGACCTGGAGCCAGAGGACATTTGATTTAAGCTAAGGCTTGATGACCCCATGGCAGCTGGAAGTAAGAATGCATATAGGAAAATGTGATAGGCAGTGAGGTTGGATGGAAGAAGGGTTCCAGCGTACTGTTCTTTGTCTCCATCTGCATGGTAGCTCTTTTTAATCCAGTCCACCTGCCAGCCACATGAACAAAAGCAAGAAGCCATAAACCATCAGAGATAGCTCTCAATAGAAATGATGCTGTAGGTAGTTAAGTGATTTTAATCAAACAATCGAATACAGGCGTACCTCAGAGATATTGCAGTGTCAATTCCGGACCACCGCTACAGAATGAGAGTCACAATAAAGCGAGCCATAATCCTTTTGCTGGTGGAGGGTCTTGCCTTCAGTTTGTAAAAACCACAGCATCAGCGAAGCATAATAAAGCAAAGCGCAATAAAGTGAGGTGTGCCCGCACAGCAAAACATTGAGAGATGTCTTCATATCTTGAATCCCTTTTTGTACTGTTGAATAAACCATTTATGCTCATTTCCCTAGTGGCCTTGCAAGTGTTAATACACATACCGAAAATATAGAATTGGATTCAAGTAATATTATTCACATTTAAATGCTTCACAGCATTGTTGACTGCATTTCATATATCCAGCTGCCTTCTGCGCATCACTACTTGGATGTCCCACAGACACAATGAGCTCAACGTGTCCAAAACTGGACTTGTCTATCCCCAGACACCTACTTTATCTTCTTTATTTCTTACCTTGTGGAATAATACACTGTTTACCCAGCCGAGTCAGAAAACTTTGATTCACACCAATTTCCTCTTCTGCTATACTCCCCTAGTTAGACATTCAACTTTATCAGTTCTACCTCTGTATCATCTTTGAAGACTATTCTTTCTTCTCCATCTTTTCTGCCACTATCATAGTTGTAGACCTTTGTATTTCTCACCTGAACTAATATCATGGATTCTGAACTAGTTTCCCAGCCTCTGATCCATTGCCCATGTTGCCTTCAGAGTGAGTTTTCTAAAACCCTAACTCCTCTCTTCATAATCCTGCATTGTTCCTCACCTCCATTCATTGCTTTGGTGTGAAAATGCAAATCCATAGCAGAGCATGTATTACTCTGAATAATCTGGATTCTGTCTACCCTTCCAACCTCACCTTTTACTTTTCCCCTCCTGTTTCAATCAGTCGAATAGCTCACAGATCCCCCATCTTGAACTCTATAGCTGATTACCTTTGCATAATGCTGTACCCTCTGTCTGCAATGCTCTTATCTTTTCTTCTTCGATTCACTTCACTAACTTATAATTGTCCTTCAGGGTTTTCTCTTCCCAGAAGCATTCTGTGACTCAACCCAAAATTCCCGTTTACATTATATCTTCCTACTGTGTGTTCCTTGAGGGCAGGGACAGAATCCTATTTGTCTTCTGTCTCCATATGAAAACCCAATGAACACTAGCAAGAGTGGGATGAATTAGGACTTCAGCCACGTGGCAATTGCTGAAGTGGGACAGATGCTGACATCTTCATTTTACCTGCAAGGAGACTAAACCTTAGGGAAGTTGAATATTGTGCCCAACTTCACCCCGATGACAAACCAGGACCAAAAGTCACATCTCTTTACTTCTGGCCCAGAACTCTTTTCAGTATTCTGTGTTGTTTCTAAGAGTATTTTTTTCTTCTATATGTAAAGACACATATTTAAGAAAAAAAAATGGACTTTAAAGAAGTTTTTTATACTTTCCTAGGTGTCTAACATCTGTAAATATTTTCATTCCGAGACAAACTAAGCTGCTATCGATTTAGCGATTTTTACATTATACTCATAGATCCTATTTGGTGATTTAGTTTCAGATTGCAAATGAGAGGAAATTAAGATTTCATTAGAAAAATATCAGGACTGAATAAATGTGAAGTTTTTCTAAAATAGATTATAGAATTTTAAATATCAGTTTATTCAAACTTGAAAATGAGTCAAGAAAATTATACCTTTTTCCAGTGATTCATAATGAGGCAATGTTTTCTTCCCTGTTTTCCCCAGGAAATCGCTGGAAATGAAAGATTACTATTTGATGTTTTTTATCATCTTTCATGATTTAAGTGCTTAGAAATTATACCTATAGTTTGTAATTCAGTTTTTAGTATCATTCGAAGTGCAGTCTCTTTGTCATCTTATATTAATTTAAGCAATGACTTCCCTTTTGAATGAGACACACAGGATTAAAATAGAAATGGTTATTTGTCAACATCTTCATGGAATTTTATTGCCAACATATAGTTTTTGTTTATTTAAAAGAAAAAGGCATTTTTTTGCATGAAAGGAAAATTTTTTCACAGCGAGAATCGTTATATTTTGCCATTGGTTCCAAAATTATGTTTTGGAATCTCCTGTAAAGGTTAAAACCAGACTAAATTTTTATCGTGCTTCCTAGAGGAGCATGTCTTCCAATGTAAACTTCCTATATTGGCTGTACAAACATTTTTGGCAATGCTAGTGTAGAGTGGTAAAAAGGATAAGTTCTCTAGAGTTTGACATTTTCTCCTCTACACTGGATGCGTGACCTTCAGTACATTGTTGCACCACCATAAGCCTGTTTGCTCATTTGAAAAAAATAGTAATAAAATACCCCCCTATAGAGCCTTTGTGAGGACTTGAATGAAATAGTATGTATAAAAGCAATAGAATGAAATTACTTCTTTTCCATCTCTTCAAAATGCTTTAACTTGTCCCAGTGCTCTTCTTATCCCAATGGCAGAAAGCTGCTTCCATGAAGATGGTCCGAGGCTTGTCAATTTTTAAGTGGTATACCCAGAAACAACTTGGCAGGTGTAGCTATTAAATGGATGTGAGAACAGATCGGCGGTGACATCTGTCACCATGCTGTTAGGGACCATTGGCAGCTGGCTGGATCACTGGCAGGCTTAGTATCCCCTTAGCCCTACTGTGCCATGTGCATCTTTTCTGAAGCTGTAGACACAAGGAAAGATAATGACTTTTCCAGATAAAAGAGGGTCTTTTTCAGTCATAGTCCATTCTTTATTAGAACTTCCAACTTAGCTCTACATGTGAGAGAACTCAGGTATATTTATACATACTCAGTTTGTGCCCATTTTTAAAATTTAAGAAAAAACCAAATTAGATAGAAAAGGGACCAATGAGTACCTAAGCCACCATAACAATAAGCATGCTTAGAGCTAAGAATACTGTCTCTGAATTCATGCACTGATAACTAGAGAATAGTTATTTCCTACAGAGGGCAATTTACCAAATGCATCCCATTTTTGTAGTTGGGAAATAGGTTAGGAATATTGGCATCATTCCAACTGATGCCCGAGTAGCTCGTTTGAGTACTCTAGGGAGTAGAAATGCAATGGTTTCCATTTGTATCACTTAGAATATTGGGCAGAGATTATGCCTTTATATTTCTTTCTGGCCAGCCTTGAGCATAACCCTGTACATGATTCACATAAATATGGTATCTGCCCTCTCCTAGCTTTTAATGCCGTTTGAGATAGAAAACACTGGATAGGAAATTTTGAAATAGTGACACATATAATTAAATGCTAAAGAAACATAGGCAGATAGTAAAATCTACAGATACTTGTTACAGGCTAATGTGATTAAGAAAGGCTTTGTGAGACTTGGGTAGGATTGAAATAACCAATTCTTGTCTCCCCTGGAGGCTGAGCTTTGGCAAATATTTAAGCCCAGATTGGTTTTGCCCTGCCACCCAGCCTTTTTCTAGATGGCCACTCCAGACCAGTCAGCCTGTGCTCATACGAAGGGAAAAATCATTGTTGTGAGTAAAATATTCTTGAGAGGAAACGTTTAAATAAACTATAGGAAATAAAAGAAACATGTAATAAATAGTGATTCTTTTTCCTACCCAACTTTGACAGGTAGCGATTCCCCAGTAAATGTGCTCCTTTGTGCTGATAGGTTCCAAGAGCTCATTACAATACACTGAATTTCCTATTGAGTTTCCCATGTGGGGGTGGAAGAAACTTTCCTCTACCATCCTGAGTTCCTTTGGCTGGTCTAATAATTAAATCTACATGAGGCAGATTAGATGAACAAGAGAAAATATCCAAATTTAATTATATACATACATATGGGAGCCTCACATACATAAAATAGAGACCCCACCTACGTGAGAGGTTCAGAGACAGGAAATTAAAATGAAGTATACATGGCAGTCTGGGCTACAGGTGGGTTAAGGAGGGTCACTCCAGGGTGACAGGGAAAGCAGATGTTCAGTAACTTGTAGTTGCCCTGCC